AATAACTTCCGTGGTTCCATTCTAGGTGATTCAACAATGAGGCAATGTTTTAAAATTAAAAGTAAAATTTCTCATGGAAGTATAAATAGGAGAAAAAAAATGTGAGTTGCTAGCACATGATGTCACAGTACTGCTTTGGGTACTGGACAAAGACACCATGATGCGCAATTACTATTGTCAAAAGGTTGTTGACCACCACTTTGATTGTTTCATGTTACTACTGGCTTAGCATTTATTTTAAAGATAATATTGGCACACCTCACTGAAAAAGAATAACATACCACCTACAGAGAGAGGATATTTGATGAATTAGCTGTTGTGCATATTCTTAAAACCTCAAGCTGATTGAGAATATATGGAACATTATAGGGAGACACACTGCAGCTTGCAATCCAATGTTGAAAAACAATTTCATACACGTTAAACATTATACACAACAGCTGTTCGAGAAGCAATACAAATAGGCTACCGCATTTGGCAATTAGCACCGTTAACTAAAAAGAATCTCTACTCTTTTTCATACTAGCATGTTGTCTATTACCAAGAACTTTTACTTCATTCAAAGGAAACATCTTAGTGGTAATCTGTGTAATATAGATTTTGGTGACAGATAATGGATTTATTTTTATTTCAGTAATGCTCTGTTCGGAAAAGCTGTTCAAACTCATTTTTTTTTTTTAAATCAAAATACAGCTGATGGCAAATCCTAGTACCAACAAATGTAATCCAAATTCTTTCATGCCAGTTTTGTATTCCCATTCTTACTGTCAATCCAAAACATGCTTCCTTCAGTGACGCATGATTTCACTGCATGATAATAAAAATGTTAACTGATTTTTTGCAATACTTTGATTTAAAAAAAAAAAAAAAAACTTCTGTTTTATTTTCTCATAATTCTCACGTATCCATGAAGAAAGCAATCAATAGGAAACGTGTCGAAGGACTAAGCCTGTGGAAATAAAAATAAAAAAAAATAAAAAAAATAAAAAAAAAAAAAAAACTGAAGGTTTGGTTACACTGGGGAGGCAAACATTTATTACCATACTTTGATGACAACCAAAGTCTACGATAGCAGATAACATGCAAGTACCATGTTTAAAAAAAATTGATTAAAAATGTTTAAAATGCTATGTAATGCTTTGATTATTTGCTCCCCCACCAAAAAGTTGTGAAAAACTACTCTAAAGCAATATGCAACCAAAATAGTAATGTAACAGCACATGATACTGCCAATAAGCATTATATTCATGTCACAATCCAATGTGTGTAGTGGATGTCTGTTTTGGTTAATACGCAATGCCAAAGTTGACCATATCCCAAGTTTGTGGAATTATCTTATTCTTTTTTAAATGAAAACAGATTGCTGTGTACATGGGAAGAATAACAGCATAAAAAAGGATTTCCTGTGAAAGGTAAGAATTTTATTACCAATGTTTAATGAAAAATCAGTCGTCAATGAATGCTGTTCAGTACTGCCAATGAGTTCTTTTCCAGTGAGATGTAGATAAGAAAGTTCAGACATTTTTCTCAAACAACCAACCATGTATATTTGTGACTAATTAAAAGAGACAATATATTGAGGATATAAGGAAGTCTCATACCTTAATACTACAATGTGAAGGTAACCTTGTAAGGATCCTAAGTTTTACTAACGTTTATTTTAAAACTGTACTATCACTTCTTATTTTCTACTTCTGGCCAGAATTAAATGCTTTAACTTGTTTATGCAAATTGTCTTGCTAATGCCCAAGTATTTAAGTTGTGGCTTTTTGCCAAGAGTTAGGGAGAGAGAAGAAGTTTTAAGAAGCAGGCTGCTTGTCACTGCAGTTTTACGAGTTTTCACTCGGTTGCTAGTTGCCTTTAAGGCCAGAGGTTTAGCCCTCTTGATATTTGCAAACATATTGTAGTTTCAGCAGCTCGGCGTACTACAAAGGTACCTTTTTTAAATAAAGGCCAGTCTTAGTGCTAGACATTTGTATACTAATTCAAAGTTAGCTTTTAGTTAAGAGTTTTAGTTAGTAGTTTTATATTCTTACGTTCAGACCACAAGTGGTTGGTCTCTGTATTCTGAAGTTCGGAAGTGCCTGTAAAGTGTTGAAAATAAAGGGTTTCGTATACCCTTCCTGCTTGTGTCGTCTGTTATACACAAATCTTGAACGTAGCTTGAGTAAGCTCCCTGTTCTTAATCAGGGCATTCTATGTTTCCAAAACAAATCAAGAGAAACACAAGTCCTGACAACTTTGCAAGTTCTTCTTTGACATGCAGTCGCTTTTTTAATGCAGTTCTTTTAATGTCAGTGTGTTGCCTATATTTACTTGCTAAATAATTAATAATAATTTTTATAAATAATTAATAATAATTCCTATTTTTTTAGAAGAAATACCATTAGAATTGAAAAATATGAAAAGCACCTTAAAAAGTGATAAAAAATAATTTTTTACTCACAAAGCTTAAAGTACCTTTTAAATTAGAATAAACTGAACATTATAGTGAAAAGGACTAAAAACACTAAGTTGACTTATTTATCATAAGATAGTATGTTTTCTCCAGAAAATCAAACAGAACTCTCAGTTTGTAAATGTGTTCAATATTAGATGAAAATTTTAGAACAGTAATATGATAAGAGCATATATTTTTTAAGTTTACAAATTTTACAGATAATCCATTTCAACTACACATTCCCAAATAAATTTTAGATAATAGAAATGACCGGTTAATTTGTAATAAATATTCTAAGTAGATTGACATGATATTGAAAATTATACACAAATACAAAATCTTTTAATACATTAAAAGTAACACTAAAACTTTTGATAAAATTCTCAATGAAATGCCAGTGTTCTCTTAAAAATCTAAAAGCTCGATAAATAATTGCAATCAAATAAAAATGGCTAATATTTTAACTTGTGTATCTACAAAGCTGTAAATAATTTAATATAGCTAATTACATACAATAAAATAGATTTCCTGCTCCCTAAAAAGAACAATATTTAATGTCTGAAATCCTTTTCGGGGTATACTGCTTATAACATCATTGATGGTTTCAATCTAAACGAAGAAAATTATTGAAACTTCAGTAAAACTTCTCACAGAAAGATTTGGAAATAAAGATGGAATGATAAATGCTCATATAGATAAGTTACTGAAAATAAGACCTTTAAATGATTTTAATGACATTCAAAATTTCCGCAAGTTACTCAATTATTCACAGAAACATATTCAATGTCTTGAATCATTAAATATGATCTCAGAAACATAGGGAGCCTTATTAACACCAATATTACTTAAAACATGCCCACAGATTGTTTTGAAATATAATAAAACAGTCTGAAAATCAAATTATTAGTTGAATCATCTAGTGGAATTTCTTTCTCAACAACTAATCCTCGATGGTACAACCAAAGATCACCACAAAAGCTTAACAAACCGAATGAAACCAGACATATTGCCAAACACACAGCTGTGAAATTAATGAATACAAGTTTGCAGGGGGGCAGAACTATGCATTTTTTGCAATGCTTCTGATCACGAGTTTACACCATGTAAACAAGCATCTTTGTGAACCACTGAGAAAAACAAAAAAGAGAAGTTCAAAATAAAAAGAATATGTTATCGCTGTTCACATCTATGACACCTTAGCATTAATTGTACTTATAGAATAAGATGTGAATTATGTAAACAACGACATTCCATTATAATGTGTTTTTTTATAAAAAGGGGAAATTAAGGAAGAACAAATTGAAAATAAGGCTTTAAAGAATAATTTGCCTTATCAAAGTGTAATCTTGCAAACTTTTAAAGGCATTTTGACTTGTAACAAGTTCTTTTGAACTACATACCGGACATGATGATAATTTTCTTCTTGAGGAAATTTAGAGTTTTTTTTAATAGCGTATTCTCTTGACTTTTAAAATATGCAGAAAATGTTCATCAGTTCAGAACTTTACAACATAAAAATTCAAAGAAAAACTTAATAATTCTTTCAAAACTGCACATCTTCTTGCAAAAAAGAGACAGTTTAATGCCTTCAAAATTCTTGAATCAATTCTATAGCCTGCACTCACATGATCATATACCTTTTATTAGGTATTTTCAATTCAAAATAATTACCTGCGTTATTCATTTCATATTAATTTTTACATCTGTTTATCTAAATTTTCAGATTTTCTTAGTGTGCATATAACAAGTAGAGATTTTGTAAGTTAGTGATAATTTTTTAAACATCACCACAATTCTTCCTTATTTACATTTTTTGAGTGCAGTACATTAGCCTATGCCCCAGGTATAACTGGAACATTACACAAAGTTAAATGTTAAATAATTTGAATTATACAAGAATGGCTATATAATTTTAATAAAAAGTAAAAATTGTAGAAAGCTCGCCTAAAAGTTACCAGGAGCATTCAAGAAAGCGACTGTATGATAAACTTGATATTGAAAAATATAAAAAAAGTTAATTAAACTACTTTATAAAATAACTGAAATAGTATGTTGTCACAAATTTGCCTGAATATAACATATAAATTTAATCACTGTGTTATTGTAACTATTCAAAAAATCAACTACATTTAAAAATTACCTACTTCATGAAAAACAATTCTTAGTAATATTTACCTATATTATTAAAGAAGATTTTATACTTTGGATATTAAGATATCAGTTTTTACCACTTCAGTAACTTTTGTACAATTCATTATATATATATATATTTTACAATGTGCATCTATCTAGAAAATTAACAAAGAAGTTACTATAACAAATTAAATCAAGCATACGGAAAATCTAAATGCTGATATTAAATATTACATTAGAATAATAAAAATATCGTCTAAGAAATTTGCTATTTCAGTGGAAATAAAATGCTAAAATGTTAAAAAATTTATAAATTTTATATATTATATCATAATATTAAAGTGGAGATCTCTTGCTTAAATAATTATTTTCATGAATCAAAAGCACTTTTAATAATTATAAAGTTTTAATATCCATAATATCTTACTTTCAACTGATGACTTTTCTGTTGATTTGGAGCTGCCTGAGGATACTAAGACTTCAGATGCATCACCATTTGACTGCACTGTTTTGTTTTCTTCAGTCACTAAATTAGCTGGAGTTGTTTCTACCATGCTGTGTGTTTTATTTGGTACTGTTTCTGTGGTTAATTGAACATTGGCTTTATTTGTTTCTTGTACTCCATAATATCCTATGTTCTTTTCAGATTCACTAACATCATGAAGTGGAACATTATCAGTCTTTGTTTCATAAATATTCTCATGAACTGTTGCATCAGGTAATGTACTATATGTATCAGAGTCTTTGTTTTCAGTTATCTGTACTGACTCCACAGTTTCAGGAATTATTTTTTCATTTTCAAATGTGTTTTCAATAATACTATCATCTTTCTTGAAAAAAGCTATATTCGGTTCATCAGTACAGGTAATATTTCTATTATCAATGTAGGGCTCACACACTTCATGTAGTTCAGTATTTTCACCTTGTTCAATATTACTTAATACCTGTATTTCACTTGGACATAGAACAGGAGGTTGCGGGTCTAGGATTCTTCTATCTTCCACTGGTGCTGATTTTGATAATGATTCATTTTTTTGATCATTTGCTAATGCAGCAGCAACCTGTGCAGCAAACTGAATAGAAATATTTGTACCAACATTTTCCTGGAAAGGAAAGAAAAAAATAGTTATATTACTTATTTAAAAAAGAAAATATGGTAATGTGACAGTTATTTTATCTGCCCAGATATGAGAACAATCATCGGACAAAGCGCTATTCCACCCAAGTAGGCAACCTAGAATATAATTACCATGCATTTTATCTGGCAAACCACTAATTGTTGCACACACATTGTGCTGGCACATAATGGGCATTCTTATGTGAATTCCCATGAAGGAAAACATCAAATTGTATGAAAATGTACTGCTAAAGATTGTCAGCAAAGGGTCTGAATGTGAATAGGAAATCGGTTTCAGGATAGCCCAATATCATTTACAACAGCTGCTTACTTTATTTATTGCTGATCTCAAGACTATAACATCTTGTAAGTTTTGCCATTCTTACAGTTCGTATTGCCTCAACGTGTCTCCCAATGTAACTACTGATAGATGCAGTTATATGCGAGAAGTACGCAAGTCAAATATGGAAAAAGATAATGTCAAGGAATTGTTATTTCCCAACCAATTGTCCAATTTTTATTTTATTTTATTTTTATTTTTATTTTTAAAGTTAAAACACGTTGATGTGTACATGAAGAGCAGTGCCAAACTACTGCAAAAAGGCAAATTCTGCAACTTTCTATTGCTTTTTTAGGTTAAGTCAGTTGATGTGTACATACAGAGCAGTGCTAGTTTGCTCTCCAATGCAAAGAATTCTGCATTCTGTAAGTTAAAGCAGATCTACATCTACATAGAAAGCAGTGTCAGTTTGTTCTGCAATGCCGAGAATGCTGAAATTCTCCCTCCCTTCTTTTAAATTGAGACAAAAACCAGCATACAAACCAAGATAATAGAAATGTTTTATATGGATGTTTGTTGCACTTTCAATTAGTTAATTTTTTACTGTTTTATAAAATTTTGCATGTTTCCTTTCTGTAATTTTTATTGTTTCGTTATGGATGTTGCTTTGTGCTCTTAACTTTATTAATTCATTGCTGTATTATGTAATTTTTTAATGCACCACCATTTTTTTACAATGGTTACTGTTTTTTTTTTACGTGCTAGGTTGGCAAAGTAGTACTCATCAATGATTGGTGCCTTTATGGCAGCACTGGGTGAATAACATGAAAGTATTGGAAATACTCTAAAATTGATACAAATCTGAAATAGGGTACTTCCTTTGTTATGGTGGCACCCCAATCATATTTGGCAATTTTAGACTTGCATCAAGATCTCAGCTATAATTTTGCCAAGCTTGTGAAGCGCGAATGTAAAAATAAACAACACAATATGTAACAAATACAAAATAAAAAATCTGAAAGCTTTCAGATTTTACATTGTGCCCAAAGGGGCATTTTTTAAAGTTTTTACCTTTATTTATTAAATATCATGTTATTCGCACTAAAACCACAAAATTCAATTCAACAACATTATCGCAAAATAATTTTAAAATGAGCATATCTTTAGAATTTCCAAAACACAATCTCGCACACTGGAGATAAAAATGTTTTTTCCTGTTGTTGTGTTGCCATTGCTCACTTTGAAATCGTCGAGTTTGTTAATCAAAATTTTGTTAAGTATTACCAAATACGAAATCGATAATAAAACAAATTCCAAATTAGGGCTTCCAGATGCCCATATTCGGTATTCCCATTATTCAAAATCTGACAGCTCTAGGTACCGTTGTTTTATCGCAATGCAAGAACACATACATACGTTTATGCAGATTCTTCATTGTTTAATTTCTTTAAATATAACACAAGGTGACTACAATTTGAAAAGTGAAACGGACATTTAAATTTCTCAACTCTAAATGCCAAAAAAAATATTAATAGCCCTTCTGGGTTAATGTCCTTTGGGCTAATAATAACAATAATATTCACAATTCCTAAGAATATTTACCTTTATTATTATATTATCGCGTTTAATTGTATCAGTCAACTGCAGCACTTTCACACATATTAAGCTGTTTGTTACACCATTTCATGGACATCAATTCCTCTGCCCAAGAATACATAAATATAATAACACTGACGAACAATATTCTTCAACCACTGAACCAATTTCAATACAGAGGGCCCTCCCCTTCTTTTTGCAATTTTTAACATTACACCTCCAAATGATTTTGTCGTTAACAAAGTTCTGTATTGTGACTCTTTTCGATACTTGTTGGTTAGGTAAAACACGTTTTTCTTGAAAAAATTATACGGCATTTAACACTCATTACTTAGTAAATTAAAGATTGTTAATGTTATATTCACACAAAAAAAGAGTGATGAATATACTTTTAAATAAGCAATGCGAATGCAAAAAATCTCATCAAAAATAAATAATATAAGAACACATGGCGAGAACAAAAAGTGGAATACTGTGCAAATATGCAATTACATCGCAAGTTATGAAAACACATGGCCAGATTTTGGCGAGATATCTCGGTTGTTTAGCGATTCAATCTGAGGGGCTGCTATAACAAAGAAGTTAAACTTATTTGAACTTCTTAATAATAAGTTATTATTAATTATTACGCCAGGATCAGATGTTAAGCCTAATAAAGCATTTTAAGCAGTTTTCTGTATTGTGTTCTTGCTGTGTCTCATCTGTCTCTCACAAGTGGCATTTGATCACACTTTCTAAGTGAATATGGTTTTACACTTACGTTCTGTATTTCCCCTTAACTCTTTCTGGCATGCTACCTTTTAAAGTTGGAATTTTGATTAAAAAAAAAAAAAAAAAAAAAAAAGGTAGGCAGTTTAATTAGGCCTAGAGGAGTACACAAGTAAAATTTTGTAAAGATAGCATGTGTAAAGATACATAGTTTTAATTCTGTGGGTGTGTCTGAAGTGGGCACACTAATTAAATAGAGCTTCGAAAAGACTGCTGAAACGAGCATTGCTGGGAAGCGCATAAAAGAGTAAGAGATTTTGCCTATGATAAAAAACACTAGATTCTGAATACCATAGCATATTTAGTATTACCCAGGTGTGCCACGGGGAGATCTGCTACTCTACACCCCCTAAAAAGCTCATTTTTGGTTATGTGATGATTACATGCTTATGAATGGGGGAAAAAGTAACTTGGTTATATGATATTTATATGAATTACATTTCATATTTACACTTTAGTCTATTTTTTCATCGTGGTACTTTTTGAAGGAAGTGACACCACCTTTAAAAAAGCACAACCCAATATTGCATGTTTTGCACATGTGCTGGGATCTGTATCAAATTCACTATCTGAAAGCAATTCGTGTAGCACTTTCAGTGCTTTAGAAATGGTCAGCCCTCTCCAATCCGTTTGAAAATTAATTAAAAATCTGAAAAAATAAACTAATATTATATATACAATTTGAAATTATGAACTATAAAAGGTCCCGAGTTTGAAACCCATCAATGACAAGATGCCTGATAATTGGTTTTTATGTAAATTTCTTTCTTGTTAATGTAATCTTATTTATGTAAATTTCCTTGTTATTCTTCCAGAACATTTTGAGTCTGGAATGTTCCAGCATATTCACCAGCTGTATATAAGTAGTTCTTCATTCAGTTTGAGTTAATAAAAAGTCTTGCGTACTTGTCTGTTGTACGATCTCTTCATCTACATGACAATATTATTAGGGAATTACCTTGTTTTGATTCCAATTTTAGATGCTTTATGTTTTATATATTTATTTATTTATTTATTTATAATTATATGATCTATGTATAATTTAAGAGATTCAGACAGTCTGTGTTCATATTTTTTTTGCAATATATTAAACAATTATTCTTTATTTTCTGAAAAGAGAGGTGTGAAAGTTTACTTTTCCTGGCACATTTCTTCAACATCGATGCTGACATCATGCCTAGGTCACAAATTCGCTGCTCCTATGACATTCTAACACTATGTATATATTTTGATTCATTAAAATAATTTACTCTTTACAAACTGGTGTTTAATAATAACCTAAAAGCACCAAATATTCAGACACAATGACAAATTGATTTATTATGAAGTAAGATGATCAGATGGGTAACTTCTTGTTCCCAGTACAAGCTGACTATAAATATTATTTTCAAGTGTTTTCATTTGTGTCGGAAAAGCTGCCTCACCAGAGAAGAGATATTTGAATTTTAGACTGCTGTGAAAACTCCAAGTGTGTATGGTATATAGTAAGGGGCTTATGTTTCAGTACTGAATATTCTTGATTTAAACATCCTCTGTGCCCAGCAAGTATTTCTAGCACTGGTCATGTTCTCTTCTCTAATTGAACAAATCTGCACTTGCACTCTAATGCTCATATTTCATTGGTTCTCAGTGAATTCAGTTAAGGAGGACTGTGACTGGATAAAACTTTATTTCTCTTCAACATATAAGCTCGCTCAAAGTCCTTTTTCTTTTTGAATATTTTTCATATTAAACACACCTGAATTCCATAATCCTACCAATTCATCAGTAAATTTGCTTTCAAACAATGTATAAATATTTGCATGATACGACATATTTCATTTACTGGAAAAATACAGCATTAAAAAACATTTAAATTTAAAAAATATCCACAATTTCAGAATTACAATAAAAATTTTCAGTGAAACACACACACACAAAAAAAGTTATTTTATAGATTCATTCTATGAAGCACGTCGTATGAAAAATTTTAAAACTTGCATAAAACAAAAGAGTCCAAAATCAAACAACACATAGTAAACTTACTGCTTCTTTTTCTAACTGAGGACGTGAACTGTCTTCGTCATTTAAACGATTTAAAACATCTTCTCCAGTGTCTGGATTAATAATAGGTATAGCATTTTTCCTTAGTTTGGTAGTTGGAGGAGGCATATGATTTGACACTGGAGGTGGAGGTATAGTATTAAAAGATGATATAGGAGTTGATGGGTAGTAACCTGAAAGAAAATTGATAGAAATTTTTTATATTTACTATATAAATTTAACAGCACAAAAAGAAGTTTACCTCATAACCTAATACATACATACCATTCGTATTTGGAGGAGTTGGATTGCTATAATTATTCCAACTATTTACATAAACAGCTGCTGGCCCAGGACTAATTATAGAATATTGTGGTGGACTGTAAGGTCGTTGTTGGTACTAAAATAAAATTTTAAAAAAAATAAGAAACCGATTTTACAAAATTACAAATACTAAGCAATATATAAATATTAAATCAGCTTTAAATTAATTAATTTCTATAATAATACATCCCTTGTCAAGAAAAAGAAATCTGATAAACAATTGCCTAATACGTAAACCATCTTTGACAGTCCTGTTTATTGAATGGTTTGAAAACTCATTCATTGAAGGAGACAAAAATTACTTAAGCAGCAAAGCATGAGCTCCCAATTTCTCCTATTCTCAGTAATGCTCCAGGACTCAGTCTGAAGCCCTCATAACACTGCATCCATAAGGTTTTATTTCTTCTACCAAACACCACTTCCTTAATCCAACCAATGGACCAAGAAATAATAAAAACATTCAAAGCCTATTATGTCCGGCATGTTTACATCTCTGCAAATAAAACACTAGACGAAGGAAAGCATGACACACCAAAGGCATTTCGGGATCAATTCAAATTAAGGAACTGCACAGAAATGATTTAACTTGCGTTCATTGCAAATGAATTCATCAATATGAGATGCATCAACGCTGCACATATTTAAAGGATTTCCATCGATTGAAAATGTAGCCAAAGAACTTATACAAATTGCAAAAGCAATAGATGGCAAAGAATTTTCAGATATTGAAGAATAAATTGAATATCAGATATCGAAGAAAGAGAAATTGTAATATTCTTGAAAAGAATAACTCGGGCGTGATGATCATTAAGTGATAAAGGAATAATTAGATGATCATATGATATCAGCCTACAATAAAAGCAGTGACAGTGAACATAAAAAAGTTAAAACAAAATGTTCACAAGAAAGTCACAGGAACTGCCTGATTCTGTAATATAGATTGACCCAAATGAAGAAAGATGGAAGACATCAAACAGCGCCTATTGTAACATTATACTCATCTGGATTACATGGAGGGCATATGATTAAGTAAGAATATTATTTAGTTTCTGCACTTGCTTTTGTGAGTGATGAGAAAAGCTGCTGATCTAAGCGAATTTGATAAAGGTCAGATTGTAATCTCCCAATGACAGAACGAGTATCTCCGAATCTGCATTACTGGTAGGTTGTTCATGATCTGCCTTTTTTAGCATTCATGCAAAGTGGATAAATGACGGTGAAACCAGCAGTAGATGCCAAGGTACTGAACGTCCAAGTGTCATCAAAGAAAAAGGTTGTCAGAGACTGTCCTGTCTGGTACAGCAAAAATCAGGATCAGACAGTGGCTCAACTGGCAGCCCAATACAATGCAGATCCAAGTGCAAGTGTTTCAGAACACAGAGTTCAGTGGACACTGTTGGGTATGTGACTGCACCAGACATCCCACATGTGTGCTTCGGTTGACTAGGCATCAGTGTCAACTATGCCTACAGTGGGCTCAGGAACATCAAGACTGGACCGTCGATAAGTAGAAGACAGTTGCCTGATCGGATAAATCCCCATTCCTCATTCATCATATTGATGGTCGTGTCAAGGTAAGCTGTCTTCCAGGCTAACAATCGCTCACCTTGGTACAACAATCATACACATGCTGGTGGTGGTATTATGCTTTGGGGGGCATTATTATGAGTGGCTCTGGGACCCTTAGTTTTAGAACAAACTATGAAAGCTGCGGACTATCTGAACATAACTGCGGATCAGTTGCATGTTTACATGGCATCGGTCTTTCCAACTGGAAAAGGATCTTTCAGCAGGACAAAGCTCCATGTCACAAGGCTTGAATTGTGTTGGAGTGGTTCGAGGAGCATAAGGATGAATTCCAATTAATGTTCTGGACACATATTTCGTTGGATCTTAAGCCAATAAAGCACATTTGGGATGTCATGGAACAGCAGATCAGAGCTCCACTACCATATTAGAGACTTTGTGTTACAGCTGCTTAGACATTTGGTACAACCTGTCTCCATCTAAAAAGAACTAGTGGCATCCATACCAAGACAAATCACAAATTTCCTATAAAGCACATCTATTACATGTTAATAACCATTAAGGAACTTCGTTTTGTCATATTTATCTGGAAACTGTGGGTATATAAATCTTGCATTTAAAATAATAATCTATAAATATTGCCTTTACACCTTCCAAGGTGCAAGGTCTAAAATCTGAAAGTAAAATTATCTGAACTAATTATGTGGGATAACTCTTAACATGAAATATATATATATATATATATTAACCTTATAGAAGATAGAGACGAATGAAATTAGTTTTTAAATGTTTACTGAGGCATTTTTGTTTTTTCTAAGAAGTGTTTCGGAAACTGTACTTTATAGCAGGGGTGGCCAACAAGTCGATCGTGATCGACTGGTCGATCATAAGGCTAATTTTGTTTGATCTCTTGCAATAACTGGAATGGAATGCTGTATACAATGGACTTTAAAGACAAAACTTTTTAGCAATAGTTTAATGCAATCTGCGAATATGCTGAGGTCATAAAGTCCTAGAATTCTCACAGCCTGACACTGATCTTCACCCATCCCAGCACAATATATTTTGACTTAGGTTTTACACTTGTCACCGGACGCAATGTGCGAATGCAACTGTTAGGGTTCGACTCATTGAAGAATGCACTGTTAGCTTGAATATTTGGTAGTGTCATATGGTAGATTCTTTTCTTTTGTATTAACAGTATTATTATTAATAAGCATTATTCATCCTCAGTGACGACTTTGGGTTTCAATTTTATTTTCTGTTTAAAATGTAAGTACCTTTTCTTTGTTTTAAATCAAATTGCTTTTCTTACATATCTATTTACTTGATACGTGAGCATTCTTGGCAACAGATCTCTAAACTGCGGTTATTACACTGAGAGAAAAATAAGGGACAGTATTACACATATATTAGGAATAACAATAATTCTATTTAAATGGAGATTTCAGTATTTAAACCATAATAAATATATTGTAAATTTAATAGACTTCTTATAAATTTAAATATATCTTTATTAAATTTTAATACACTTGTCTTGCTGTGTCCGATCGTAGTATGCAGTATTGTTATAATTTCTCTCAATGTAATGGAGATAACAGCAGCAGTTCATGAGTTTTTAATTTTATAGAAAAAATGTTTAATTCAATATTTATTCTTTAAAATGTCATATTTCTTTGCATTCTAGTATACCCATGAACATGATTAGTAAACCAAAGAAATTGAAAACTTATCACTTCAATGAAGAATGGGAGCTCATTTTTTTTAAATGTTGAATGATAAATGTTGTTGTTTAATATGCCTTACCTCAGTAGCCATTGCTAAAAAGGGTAATCTGGAGAGACATTTTTTTTAATAACGAGTTTTTAATAACTTTACATAATGAGTATCAAACATATTAACACCAAATTCTAAGCAGAGAAAACATAAAGTTAAGGATCTTTAAACTCAATTAATAAATCAACAAAGAGTTTTTAAAAAGCCAAGTTTGAAGTCACAAGCAGTAACTACTGCATCATTCAAAGTAAGCTATCACTTAGCACAAAAAAAAAAAAAAAAAAAAAAAAAAAAAGAAGAAAGAAAGAAAAAAAAAGTAAGCCATTTGTAAAGGAAATGTTTTAAATATGTCAGATTCACTTTTTAGAGATTTTAAGAACAAGAGTGAAATTGTAGCTGCAACTCAAGATCTGTCTTGAGTCTCGAAACACAGTGATGTGACAAATTGAAAGGATGGGTGGGAATGTAAAAGAGCAGTTATATTATGATATTAATAGATATTCTTGTTTTTCCCTTCAGTGTGATGAATCGACTGATATAAGAGATATGGCACAATTAACTTTTTTCATTTGTATGGTTTTTAAGGATTTTACGTCTAAAGAATAATTGATGGATATGATTTCTTTGAAGGAAAGGACTACATTTGTAGACATATTTAAAGCCTTGAAAACTTGCTTAATGATTTGAAAGTACCACTTTTTAAATTAGTCTCAATAACAACAAATGGCACAGCTGCAATTATAGGTAGCGTAAATGGATAGCCCTATGTCAAAAGGAAGATGAATTCCCTGACTCTTAAGCTATCACCAGCAAGTGTTAGCTAGCAAAAGACTAAACACAAAAGAGGTTAAATTATTACTAGATACCAATATGAGATGGCTAAGCAGAGGTAAATTTTTGCAGCGATTTCGTGATTTATTATAGATTTTTCTTAATTCTTAATTTGATAAATTATAGATTTTTCTTCACAAACAAGATGGAAACTGCAAAAATTTAAATGATGAAATTTGGTCTGTTACTTTGCATTTCTTACTGATTTTGCTTCAATATTAAGTCATTTAAATTTGGAATTGCAAGATAAAATAAAACAGTAATCGATACCCTCAGCTGCATAGACACACATGTAAAACAAAAATTATTTTGCTAATTGAAAATCTGCATTTAAATAATCTGAATCATTTTGCAAATATTGCGAATAACCTACAAAAACATAAAAATATTAATTTTACGACAAATATGTCCCGGATATCCAAAAAGTAACTGAAGATTTTGAGATAAGATTTCAGGATTTTGAAGAAATTAAAGAAATAGCAGAATTCATATATTTTCCTTTAAAAAAAGATTTAAGTGTGAAACGTATTAGACAAAAAATTTCAGACATATTTCATATGGATCAAAAGGCATTAGAAAATGAAATTATAATTTTACAAATTGACTTAATCTTACAAGCCCACAAATTTGAAGAAGATTGTTGGAACTATGTCAACTGAAAATATCCCAGTATCACCAAATATAGCGAATATATATATTCTTGTTTCGGATCTACATACCTATGCGAATTGGCATTTTCATACTTGAAACTAAAGAAGACTAAACAACATTCTGTTCTGATTGATTCCCATACTGAAAGATCCATTATTATAATCTTTGTCAGGATATACACCTCATTATGATTCCTTGGTTAGGGACACGCAAACTCAGTCTTCCCATTGATGTTAAGGCAATAAAATAAATTCTAAAAATGTCTTTATCTGTAGCTACTTTGAATTAATAAACATTGTTAATAATTATCCAAGTTCTTTTTTTTTTTTTTTTTCCTTTGACATGAGTTTTTAGGATCTTTAAATAATAATTATTGTTGTTTTTTACATAGGTATATAAAACTTATATCTATATTTCAGTACGAGGAATGCTCAGCGAGCTATTGATAGATTAGCAAACAGCCACATTATTCTTTCGTAATAATTTCTCCTGGCCCCTCAAAAATGCGAAAGTGAAATATTAAAATCAAATTATCAGCCATACCGTGCATTTTCGTAACAACCTTTTCATATTAATGAACAAATAGTACAACTTATACATGGCAGTAGATAAAATAGTAAAAATCTACCTTGAAAAAATGTAGGAAAATCGAATTTTTTTAGGTACCTCATGTACGGAATGCTGCTATTAAAAGTTGGGTCTCTTTATACTGAAACACAGTGTATAAAAACATTGTATATATTTCACACCCGACTACACGTATGATAACGAGTTCATTGCGGCACACTTTTAAAATAAAAAATAGATTTTATATACAAAAACGTTGGCCACCTTTGCTTTATAGCACTAATTATTTTGTTTATTTTACAGAATCAAAACATTTCTAAGTTTACCAAAATGGAAAGTAATTTCACTTTAAAATATGGCAAGATAAAATAAAAATGTTTTATTTTTAATGTTATTTCTTAAATATTAATTTTAATTTATTATTATTTTTATGATATTTATCAGTGTTATTATGTTTATAAAAATCCTCAAAATTTTGCAATCTCCGAAAAAAAAAAAAAAAAAAAAAAAAAAAAACATTTTGCTTATAACCGATTTCGAAATCACCAAAATTTTGAATCGCCACATTTAGTGCCATGTAATAAAAAAAACTCATATCTCAAAAAGGAGAAAGTTGTTTTCGATGTAATATTTTACGAATTCTTCATTCAAGGGGATTGAATAAAAATGTTTAAGTTTTAATCTTAGAAGGGCCGTGTAGCTAAAACTAGAGTATCCCTCATTTATGTTAAGAAGTGGGAAAGAATTCAAACACTAACCCATCAAACAGATATTTCCCAATGCATTGCCAAAATATTCCTCCAAAAAGTTAATTCTCACTCAAAATAGCAGTCACACACATGGGGGGGACAGACAGAAATGTCAGATGAGTAAAATTAAGGACCATTTGCCAACATTAAGGACTTTTACAGACCAAAAATTGCTTCGAAAAAAACCTAAGGACTTTTAAGCATTATGCAAACCCTTATTATTACTTTAAATGCTTAAATATTTTTCTACAAAGGGTTCATTAAAAAATCAAAATTCAGTTGCCTTACAATATGAAATTGGATACTTAATCAAAATAAAGTATTCAGTTTCTTCCAACTACTATTCAAATTTTAAACCAAATGAATTTTTTTAAATTCTTACTTTTACACATCGAACAGCTATTACATTATAACCACTCTCCACCTATAACAATGGGCTTGCCATGGAACAAAACCACTCAGTGTGCGGGGCTGATGGAGTATATAAAGCAGCTATGCATTATCTTTCCAAACATAGCATGATTAGTGACAAAACAGGAAAAGCAGCTGATTTAACAGACTTTTATAAAGGTCAAACCATTATAGCTCATCGATTGGGAACATCAATATCAGAAATGGCACATTTAGTGGGCTGTTCACATGCAGCTGTTATGAGCACATACCGAAAAAGGTGTACGGATGGTGAAATAACAAGTTGACGGCCAGCAGTGTATCATCGACATGCCATTGATTCCAGAGGAAAGCGGAGATTGTTATGCATCATTAGCTGTGACCGAAGAACTCTAAAACAGCCAAAATCACCAGCAGCTACAACAGTGGTGACCCAGACAGTGTTTCTCAACATTCTGTGCAGTGTACATGTGCCTACACAGCCAGAGGCCAAAGAATGTCCCTGCACTGAAGGCATGTCACTGCCAACTGCGTCTGCAAAGAAACATCGGAATTGGACATTAGAAGAATGGAAGAAAGTTGTATGATCCAATGAATCACGTTTTCTGATCCATCACATTAACGGGAGTGTGCTAATATGCCAATTCCCAAACGATACCCTGGCTCCCGGATTCACAGTTGGACAGAGACAAGCCGGTGGCAGGGGTATTATGGAGTGGGCAATGTTTTCATGGAGCACATTAGGACCCATAGAACAATCCCTGACATCTGTGCACTACATGAACATCGTTGCAGACCAGGTTCAACCATTCATGACAACAGTATTTCCAGCGTAGGATGGTGTTTACCAAAAGGATAATGCACCATGTCGTAAGAGTCAAATTGTCAGGGAATGGTTTGAGGAACATTCCAGTGACTTTCTTGTCTTGACCTCTAAAATTTACCTGACATTAATCCAATAGGGCATTTCTGGTTCCACCTGGAAAACCAAATTCGTGCTGCCACGTTACCCTCGCAATGTGCGGGAATTGCAGGATCAGTTGGTGAGCGCTTGGTACCAAATACGTCAAGACTACTTATGAGCACCTTATGGAGGCAATGCCACACCGGATGCCGGAAGTTTTGAGTGCTAAAGGTGGTGCTATGTGTTATTAACAAGGTGGTTATAATGTTATGGCTCTTCGGTGTAAATGCTTTGGAGATTTTTTTTTAGATTTAGAAAATTCATAAATTTCATAATTTTGCAGAAGATATCTTATTTAGGCATGTTCTTTGGGTTAGAACATTTATGTATGGGAAAATTTTAAAAAAAATTATGTATTTATGTATGGAGAAAGGAGTAAGTGTCCTATTACACTTACTCCTTTCTCCATACATAAATACATAATATTTAAAAATATTCTTTATATTTTGTATATGACAGTAGCACTTCCAGATTATTTAAAAAGAGCTAATTGAGGCAGAACTTACCATGTGTGCCAAATGATGATGATTTAAAAGTACAGTAGGCATCTGATTAAACGAAGCATGTGATGGAACCATGTGTACTGGTTGACTATATTGTGAAGATGGCTGTTGAGCAGTCTGGTTCACAACATTTGTTAAAGGATTCCTAGCCATATTAGGCATCGATCTTGGAGCATTAGTTCGAGCATAATAATTCTAAAACATAATTAGAGTATTTTATCAAATTAAAATATTTATCCAAAATTTAAAGGAAATTAAAAAAATCAAAGATTTTAATTACATATTCACTTTTAAAACATACTATATGAAATTTTCACTAAATATTACCCTTTCAAATACATAGCCTGATTTATTCAAATTATTGGTTTATTTTTTTCTCACTGCTTATGCTAATTCTATTAATTCTGTGCAATTACTAAATGTCAAAACTGTAAAAATTAAACCTTTCATACTTAGAAAGCACAGTATAATTTTTTTACTAATATGCTGCCTCTGGTTTTAATATTTTAACATTACAAGTTTCTTTCAATTATATTCTGCATAAGTTCTAAATTGTACTTGGTTCAAGATACATATATAAAATAAGAGTAACAAAAGCAAAATTATCATCAGCATTCCTGAATAAATTCTGTATTAAATTAACACTGAATTTAAGATAATATTTGGAAAAAGGATGCAAAACTGCAATGCTCTATCCTTAATTATTTAAAAAATATATATATAATACTTAAACTGGTATAAGTAATTTTAACAGACTTCTTTCTTCTTGTCTAAAAATGTTTTATTGAAAATAAAAGCATAGAAATATTAGATATCTTTTACCTATTAACAACAAAATACAAGAGGAATATATTAAAATTGTATAAGAGTTTGATTTTCATTTCAATAGAAGAGTGAGTTCCAAGCATTCATAAGTTTATTCCAGGTTTGATTTCCAGCAATGAAATTAAATAAATGGTCCTTTATATGCTTTTGCACAGGTGTAACAGCTATGGATGCACTGCTGAGGCTCTAATTATACACAATCCTTGAATGTAAGTAACCCTATTTAATGTATAACTGAAAGCATACAGATGGGGGGTAAGAAAAAACAATTAAAGGAACTTGGGATATCTTTAGTAGTATATATTACCATGGTTATGACAAAAGTAAGAAAGGGGAGAAACTAACCTTAAAGTCCCTACTGAAGTAGGATGCTCTAATGCATTACCGCTTTGAAAAACTTTATGAGAAGGCTACCTTTAATTATAGCAATATTCTTTTTACCACAATAAAATCAATTATTATGTTTGAAAAAACAGATGTCAACTCAGATATTGAAATAAACATGCCACAAGAAAAGGCAGGAGAAAAAATAAATATATTCTAAATATAATAAAAACATGAAACTTCGGACAGAAATGGTCAAAAATGATAACTTTAGTTACATCAAAGATTGTTTTAGAAATAATTTGGTACTGGCCAGAGACCACATTTAACCAAATTGGCAAAATTCAGCACTATGTGGTTTCCAATGCAAACCCAAAACTCCATTGGCTGGGTAACATTTTATTATTTGATACATATTTCATGTTTCAGAAATTCAGCACTATGTGGTTTCCCATGCGAACACAAAACTCCATTGGCTGGATAACATTTTATAATTTGATAAATATTTCTTTTCTCAGAAATTCAGCACTATGTGGATGCAAAACTGCAATGCTCTATCCTTAATTATTTAAAACTCCATTGGCGAACTCCATGCAAACACAAAACTCCATTGGCTGGATAGCATTTTATTATTTGATAAATATTTCATTTTTCAGATTTAATACATGAACTAATTATATGCACTTGATATCAAAGAAATTACAAAAATAATAAATGAATGTCAGCTATATATAAACATGCTTCATATTTATAGTGAACATTTAACACATGCCCCCCTAAAAAATTAAAAGAATCAGACCAAACTTATAAGGCAAATGTTAATTAAATCAAAAATCTGATAACTTAAAACTAGACCATATTATACAATACACCGACTTCTTTATAACTATGATTACAATATAAGACTAAAATACTGTTTTAAAGAATACCATACTGTACTATAAAAGAAAAGTATCAAGGGTTAAAAGAATCTTTCATTACTACTGACATACAAGTCCAATATTCCCAAAATACATTATTTATGAACTGTTTGCCATGCAATTAATACAATTTCATATACCAAAACATAAAATAGTACTGTTCTGTTATCAGGACTGGATCCAGAAATATATGTATGTGTTCATGTATGCATGTATATGCAAGCAGGAATATATGTGTATGTATGCATATACACATAAATGCATATACCTACATAAACACATGTATACATTCACATATTTCTGAATATGGTCCCGATAACAAAACAGTAACCATAAAATTTCAATAGAAAATTCTCTATATGCATCACAAAAAAATAACAGCTAAAGTGGTGCACATGTTCCATGTTAAATTTTACACCACTTTAGTTAAAATTTAATACAAAAAATAAAAAAATATCCGAAAGGTTTCAGAATTTAAATTATATTGAAAGGGACTTTTTTTAACGTTTTGTGTGTTACCTTTATTTAATAAATATCATGTTCTTTGCACTTAAATCATAAAATTCAGTTCAAACACAGTGTCGCAAAATAATTTTTAAATGAGCATATCTTTAGAATTTCCGATACACAGTTCCACGCGCTAAAGATAAAAGTCCCCCCCCCCGTAGAGTGTTGCCATTGCTAGCTTTTAAATCATTTTGCTAATCAAAAATTCGTTAAAGTTTTACAAAATATGAAATTTATAATAAAACTAATTTCAAATTTGGGCTTTCAGATGCCCGTATTCGCAGCAGGATTACACCATGCAAAATTGGATGACTCTAGGTATCATTGTTTTATCAGAATGTGAGAAATATACATACATTTATGCAGATTCTTCGTTGTTTAATTTCTTCAAATATAATACAGGGCGATAATATTTGGTAGCAATGATTTGAAAAGTGATACAGCCTTTTAAAGTTTTCAATGCAGAATCACAAAACAAAAACAATAGTCCTTCAGGAAAAAAGTCCCTTTGGACTAATAATAATAATGCAATATTATTAATTTAATCACACTCTACAATGTACTACATAAAAAATGCATATATATATATATTCTGATATTGTATGTATTCTGTTATTTGCCCCAATGATGGCCTGAGATCAGATATAATTAAAGTTAGAGTTACTGAGATATAATTAAGTTAAACTGTGTTCGCAAAAGTCAAAGCTATATGACAAAACGAATCAAGGATTACCATATGTATTTGCTCATTAGCTGACATCCATTGTAAGCCAAGAAATTGAAAACAAAAATTAATCATGTCAACTATATTAATAATATTGGTTCTAAGTAGAGGAATATATTTTAAGCTGCCCTCCATAAAAGGGAACAAGTAGGCAAGAAAACAGGTAAATATGATAATTCTTTTTCATACATTTGATGATTTTTAATGCACACTTACATTCATTGACATATTATGCCCTCTATTTATTTGCTGACCCGGCTGTACCATAGGAGGAGGTTGTGGAGATGGTGCAGGTGCTCCCATGCCAGGCTGGTGGTGTTGCTGAGATGCAGATGGAATACCACCAGAGTTAGGATACATTCCTGGCTGGCCTGTTGGAACTTGTTTGCTCATGTCATGAGCAGAATTGCTTGGTACTGTTGGTAGTCCCTGAGGAAAACCATATTGCTGCAAGGGAAAAAAAAATTAATGGCTGAAAATAATTATTATATACTCTGTCGTAAAATGCACACCTACAATTTTATACTATATTTTTTAATTTTTAGAAATATTTGCTGTATAACTCGCACCCATTTCTTAACGGAAAAACATAAGAGATACTTAAGGAAAGCTCTTACTTTTTTGTCATTCATTTGAAACTTTTTCCCTAGGATTTTCAAACAAATGTATACTGAATTGGAAAGCAATAAGAAGAACAATATATCTGTGACTTATGTGAAAGGCACAAAAATGGTTTACATAAAACAACAGTTCACGAAAAATCTCACCTCACCATAGTGATTTCCAACTTAGCAGATGGTACAAAAATTAAAACCCATGGATATTATTATTATTATTATTTTTAAAGCTGGTGCTAAAATGTAATTTCTCAAATGGTGTTTTCATTAACGTTCACAAAAAAAGAGTGGGTGGATTAAAACGGTGTGAAATTGTGGATAAGAAATGTCTGGCAAAAGTGATCTGTTGCCTTAAAGAATCCAAAAAATCTTTTTAGTTCTGAATATGTTTAAATCCCATCTAACGGACAATACGAAGAAATTGTTGAAAGAGTGTAATACAGACATGACTGTTCTTCCAGGCTGATTAATGCCATTAGGTCAGCTGTTATATGTGTGTATCAATAAAACATTCTTGAAAATTTAAAATGATAGTGAAATACAATGAAGTTTGAAGATGAAAAAACATTTACAAAAGGAGACAAATACGACATGCCAGTCTAGAAATAGTGTGCGAGTGGATAATGATGCATGAAATGAAACTAAACCAGATGTAATTCAAAAGATATTTAAAAAATGCAGTTTTTTTAATAATCTAGATGGAATGGAACATGATTATTTATTTATGGATGAGAGAAATAGTGATAGCAAAGATGAAATAGAATTTGATGATGTGCCTAAAGATATAATCAAAGACAAATACAATTAACGTTTCATGTTATCGGATGATGAAAATTTGTAAGTTCATAAGCTATGCCATTTCTTTTATATAAATCTATTATTTTTATATCCGGCATACAACACACACCTGTAAATTTTTGTGTGTGTGTGTGTTAAAAGTGTGCCGAAATATATGGTACTCTAAATTTAGATCAATATATCATTTTTAAAATAACTTGAACAGTTAATCTTTAGATTATGGTAACTTGGCGATTTTTTGGCAAAAATTTGGCGACCGACCCTGCTACAGCAACCTGCTAGTTGGGTTTATTTATTTTTTATTTTTTTTTTTTGACGCCATTTTATTTTTACGAAGTAAAGGTATGTTTCATTTTTTTTTTTTAACACAACATTTTTTCCAATAATTTGCTAGCCGAAGTACGCTTATGCTAGAACTTTTATGAAACAAAAGTGCTTAATCATGACGAAATTCAGTGCGAAATGGGGAGAAGTCAGAATCATCCACTGCTTGCCGCGTTTTAAATGCCATACATGGTATCATCCATGTACACTCGACTAGTTTCCTTAAAAAACTCAAGAATTGCACAAAAATGGCATTATGCACACTTTTGACTTATCCATTACACTGCTAAGTCCAGCTAGTAACCTTTATCGCCTTACCAAAATGTCGCCAAACTACCTGTTACCAAGTTCCAAAGATTAGCCACTTGAACAATTAAAAAATGAAGTTTTGATACATATTTTATAAAACTAAAATGCTTACATAATAAGAAATTTAATACTTGCAGGTTATCTGGAACTAGGAGCTAAGGCAGGTACAAAAAATGTCCATATCAGGTGTACAAATAAGTTTAGAGTGCTTTAAAAAAAAATTGAAGCTTTATTGAGAGGAATTGGAAGAATGTATTTTATTCAAAGTATTGTCCACCGTTAGCAACAACTTTCCCCATCTTCCAGGTAGCATACGGATTTCGTGTTTAAAACATTTCTCATCTTTCGAGGTGATCCAAGAACTGACCCAATTTTTGGTTTTTTCGTATGAAGTGAAGTGCTGCTCAGCCAAGTCTTGAGTCATCTACCAGTACAAGTGGAAGTTGAAAGAAGCAATGTCTGGCGAATATGGCAGGTGAAGTAGGACATCCCATTGAAGTTTCGTTGACCACTTTTACAGCATGTGGGTGAGTGTTGTCATGTTGAGAGATCATTTTGTCATTGTCTTTTGGCATATTTGGGGGGGGGTTCTGAGCTTCAATGCTTGGCTCAGTTGCATCAACTGTTTGTAATGTTCCCAATGATGATTTCGTAAGGCTGAAGTAGCTCGTAATAGATCAATCTGAGCTGATCCCACAAGATGCACAGCATTAGCTTCTTGCCATGAATATTCGGTTTGGCCATTGAAGTTTTTGATGCATGGTCAGGCTTACCCCACGATTATCTGTGCTTTGGGTTGTCATAGTAGATCCATTTTTCGTCCCCCGTCACGATTCGATGCAAAAACCCCTTCTAATTTTGCCTTTGGAGCAGTTGTTTGCATGTGAAAAAACAGTGTTCTACGTCTCTTGGCTTGAGTTCGTACGGAACTAAATTTTCTTGTTTCTGCACTATACCCATGGCCTTGAGACACTTTGAAGTCACTCCGAAGGTTTTGGCAAGCTCCTAATGAGTTTGGCATGAAACTTGGTCCAATGTCAAAATCGTCATTTACTTGTTATTTAATAATCATCAAAATCGACAGAACCAGTACTCACATGTTTTTATTGATGGAGCATGTTCCCCATATATATACTTCACACAACAATTGACATCCATCAGCTGCACTTTTCTTGAAATTAAAACAAAAAAGAAGCACTTCCTGTAAATTTTTATTTTGTTAGTACAAAGGTTGACATGGGCTAAGCACAAAGTCTGTTTACACTTCAGGAAAATGAAATAGACGGATTTTTAGACGAAAATGCTGGCACTTTAACATGAATATATTTACAAAGTTGTCTGATGGGATTTAAGACTAGTAATGCCATCTTATGTAAATCCCTCAAAACTTATTTGCACACCCAATAACTTGCAAACAAATGCCTCTCTCTCTTTGCAACCATGTTGTGGACTAAATTTGTTTTCGAGCATGTGACTGAATCTTTCATTAATTTTGATGTTTTAGATTCTTTTGCATTTTATGATTTATTATTTCCCTTATTAATGGTAATGAAAAAGGTAACATGATAGTAAAACAGTATTCATTAGCTTTATGCTAAATTGCAGAACATTGCTAAAAGTGCTATTATACTCCTTTAAAGTTAACCTACAGGAATAAACTAAATAATATTCACTAAAAATCTAGATCAATCAGATTGCCAGCTCTGCAACAATAAGAGTAATCAACACTCAGACTTTGATCAGTTACCTTAGCATCAGAGCTCCCTGTTTTGGATAACCATGAGTTGCAGAAAAAGATATGAGTATTAAAAAATCAATAATACCTGAGGGTATCCAGCTTGTCCGAAATCTGGGTGACCTAAAAAAAATAAAATAATAGTTAAATTAAAAAAAAAAATAACTATCTATCTAAGTAAAAAAATTGTATATGCTCAAGGCAAAATTCATTGGAGAACTTTTAAAAATTTTAATAAACAATCGGCCTTTATATCTAAAATTTCACATTATATTCTCATTATAACATTACTATTTCATTTTGCCTTTTTATTTTTATTTCACTTGTTTTTTTCTTTTTTTTTTTTTTATCTGATATTGCTAATCGCCAAATTTTATAGGAGATGTGGCATTAAAAAGCTAGTTAGTTATTTACTATGGCAAAGCCTCGAGGTTATCTGCCTAAGGGGAGGGATGCCTTCTGGAGGACTTTCTAAGGCAAACTGGCTCATATAATTTACACACGGGAAACCACAAAAAACCCTGCAGCCACCATCCGGGATTCGAATCGACCGAACTCCAGTATTCGGCGACTTTACCGCTCGGCAGCTGGTGGGCCTGGCATTAATATAAAAATTAATTTTACAGAACTAAACAATAATTCCTGGATCAGCACTGTCTCAAATACTTTGTAATTTAAAAAATTACATTTCAGACTGATAGGAAATATAAGGAAACAAAAACTGTGACTAAATAGCAATCATGAACTAATCTAAAATGTAGTTAAATTCTTGGTAAAATTTATTTCACCATATTAAGTAAAGGCAAAAGTATTAGTCCAAAACAATAAATATGTATATATGTAATAATATGCTGTCATGACAATGTTTTCTCTCATATACGTGGTGGCCAATTGGGACACTTTTGAAATTTTATGTTTTGAACTTGTATGCTTATAGAAAATGTTACGTTTTGCCAATTGCAGATTGTATATATCATTTTAAAGAGATTATACTGAATTCAATACAAAACACAAAATTCAATATTTGCAATACAAAAGTTATATGTACTTTAAAAAAAAAAAAAAGTTATTAAGTGGTGTGTAATGTCTAGCTTTCCTGGTCAATCATTTCTTGTTCTGAGTATGTTTGAGTGATATCTTGTTCTGAGTTCAGATCTTGTTTTTTTGAGATCAATGTAGTACTGCCATTAGAGTGACATCATGTTACACTGAAACATCATGATTTTGCTTGTTCTGTAAAAGGAGGACCAGTTTCTATACACTGCAATTACAAGTAGAATTTTTGTAAAAATTTTAATTTAGTCATAGCAGTGACATCAAATAAAAGAGTAATTGGCACTGAAGTGTAATAACAGTCAAAAGTCGTTAATTCGGACACCCCTATCCGGACCTCAAAATACAAACTTTTCGCATGCGCGTAAGACCTTATGCTGCGCATATGCGTCTGCGCGTGTGCATCAACGTTTCGCATGCGCGTTTATGTATAATGACGGTATAAGCAAAATCTATTTTCAGTTATTGAAGACTGCGTTTTCTTATTTCGAATTGCATCCGGCTTATTATTTTTTGCAGACTGTAGAGCAATTTTATAAAGTAAGCTTGAACTTTCGATTATATCAAATAGAATTTCCGATATATTTGCTAATATGCGAAAGATCTAAAGCGAAAGTATGTTTCGAAATCCCAAATCTGTCTATCAATTTCACGCTGCTCGGCGGGGGGAACGCCGTGGCACGCAATGAATTGGAAGTTGATTTTTCAGCACTATCCTTATCTTCAAGGCAGATGTTTTTATTTTATTTGGCTTATAATTTCTTACTAAACGTAGTATTTCATCTCGATGTACTGTGTCTTTGATATGATTTAAAACAAGTTCCTTGTCATTATAATTCGCTTCCGATAGTGAAGAAAGTAACAGAGGTTTTTGAAACGAAAAAATTTCGATTGACAAATTAGTCGGTATTCTCGACACATTAATTATAGGACTTGAACAGCGGAACTTTGTAACTCAACAAGAAATTATGTCTGTTTAATAGAATTAAAGAGAAAGTATTATCACATGAAACGAAGCAACTTAAACAACTTGCATTAAAAGAAATGTTTAATAAAGTAAACAAATAAATATTAAGCTTTTCTTTTTGTAAATTTTGATACCCTTTAGATCATAATTGTTCTTTATTTCATAAATTACGGTTTCATATTTTTAATTTTGTAATTTCTGCATGCCATCTTACCAGATTTAAATTGATGATCTATAATCCGGAATCGCCGAAGTCCCTACGAGTCCGGATTAACGACTTTTGACTGTATTATTGTGTTAGAAAGTGGTTTCTATGCTGAAATTGAAAGAAGGTAGGTGGTTCAGTAACTACATCTGGAGTCTGAAAGTTTTGTTTACGTTCAGGAGAAAAAATTCAATAAAAAACAAAGAAGGAAAACCGAAAAAGGTGCACCACATCTATGAACAGAAGATAAAAAGACTATGTCTCCAAGATAGAAAATGTCATCAGCGGCCATCAGAAGTGATCTGATGATGCTGGTGTTTCTGTCAGTTCAAGAACAAGCAGGAGAAGATTAACAGATGTTGGACTGAGAGGTAAAATTCCACGAAAAAAGCCTTATCTTTATACAGCAAAAAAACACATTGATTGGACAGATGATCAGTGGTCAAAGTTATATGGAGTGATAAACTAAGATATCGTTATTCGGTAGGATGGGCGAAAATGTAAGACGTAGAATAGGAGAGAGCTACATTTGACTGATTCAAGCAACTGTGAAGAACCCAGTTAGTGTTAGATTGGTCTTGCTGTTAGCAGATGGTATTGGTCGCCTTCTGTATCAATGGGACACTAAATGCCAAAATACATTGACACATTTAGAACCAAAACTTCTACCTTCCATAGAGATCTCTTTTCCCAACAATGCTTCGTTAACTATTCGCAGGATTCTGCTCCTGCCACACGGCCAAAATATCGAAGAGTAGTTTTACAAAGAACATTAAATTGTTGTCATGGCCAGGAAAAAGTCCGACCCAATCCTATCGAAATTTGTGGCACCCGTTTGAAAACTCGGTTAATCTGGCTATGGTAACTTGCGATTTTTTGGCGACCAACTCTGCTACAACAGCACACTATTTTTTTTTTTTATTTTGTCTCACCGTAAGACATATTTCTTTTCTTTTTATTTACTGAACACTTTTCCAACAATCTTCTATCCGAATTACACTTATGCTACAAATTTTATGGAACAAGACTGCTTAATCATGACAAATATTAACTGTAAAATTGGGAAAAACTGCAGAATCGCAAACTCCTTACCGCGTTTTTCAGAATCGCACATACACATAAACCATGTACATGTCGACTTATTTTTACTTAAAAAAAAATCCCAGAATTGCACAAAAATGGCATTGCGCACACTCTTCACTATATTCATGTACACTGCTTTTTTCTCATAAATTAGAAAAATTTCACGAAAATGCATGAAAATTTTGTGAATCTTTAAATCCGGTAAAAAGAACATATATGAAATTACCTGATCGCGAAAAAGTATATACCCTTTCCGAGGATGAACATTTCTATGTATAAAATAAATAAAATATCCAAAAACTTTTACCTCTAAATTATCTATTATAAACGTCACCAACGAATTTACACCGCAAACATTAAAAATGGTTGCAAATACTTAGTGACAAATATTTAAATTATTTCCATGCACGTTTACTTCAACTGAAACGTATACCAAATTGCTACAAACATAAAATTCACAAAATAACTATCATTTAATTAAAATATAACTAAACCATGTACATGTCGACTTATTTTTACTTAAAAAAATCCCAGAATTGCCACAAAAATGGCATTGCGCACACTCTTCACTATATCCATGTACACTGCTTTTTTCTCATAAATTAAAAAATTTCACGAAATGCATGAAAATTTTGTGAATCTCTTTAAATCCACTAAAAAGGACATATATGAAATTACCTGATCGCGAAAAGTATATACCCTTTCCAAGGATGAACATTTGCACGTATAAAATAAATAAAAATATCCAAAAACTTTTAACCTCTAAATTCTATTATAAACGTCACCAACAAATTCATAACGCAAACATTAAAAATGGTTGCAAATACTTAGTGTCAAATACTTAAATTACTGCCATGCACGTTTACTTCTTCCACTGAAACATATACCAAATTCTACAAACAATAAATTCACAAAATAACTATCATTTAATTAAAATATAATTAATTATTGCTAATAACAATTTTCCAATAATACCAAATTACTTTATTTACTCCTTACATTTACAACAATGCATAAAAATAATATCCTCAAATAATTAAAAATACTAACTTAACCTAATCTTCTTCAGAATCTTGATTATGTGGCGGATAAACTTTCTATTTCGTCCGCTAAAAAAAAGCATCGTATGTGCGCCTGTTTCAGGATTTTTAAAATCAACTTTGGTTTCACAGCAAGATGTTGAAAACCTTCATCCTCCAAACAGACATATGACTTCCAGCAATCAGATATATTGTACCAGGTAGAATATACTGCTTAATAAAACTTATAAGCAATCTTACTTCTATCTCGCACAACCTTAAAAAATCACTTATTACTACCCCTTTCTATCCCACTAAATACCCATTTCGAATTCACTTTAGATAGGGCCATGGGATCCAAAATTAACCAACACTGTTTCACACAACCAGAATGAAGCTAAATACAAAATTTCCAGATTTCCCCCCCTTTTCCGATTAAAGAACTGTAATTCGTCCATTAATGGTCACATGACATATCTCTGATATCTCATTTCCCTCACACAAAATAATGCGTAATCGGAACTGAGTACTTCTCACATTATTCCCAAAGTCCTAGGTAGTAACCTTTATCGCCTACCAAAATGTCATCAAACTACCTGTTACCATATTCCAAAGATTAGCTGAAAACTCTTGTCCGAATGAGGCGCACATCAAATAAAAGGGAACACTAATTGAGTCTATAATTGTTTCCAGGCATCATGTAATAATGAAAGAAGAGCTTAAAACTCTTGTCAGCTCAATGAAACATTGATGTGAAGCTGTAATCAAAAATAAAGGGTACCCTACCAAGTACTGA